AGTGCTTCTGGACAGTGTTCGCACATCCAAAAGTAGTCTCCACCACTGTTGAGTAATGACCAGGGGCGGACTGACAACTTATGGTGCCCCCGGGCAATAGGGGATCATGGGGCCCCTGTGTCCTCGCCCACACTCAAACCACATCCAAAAAAGCCTATGAAAGGTACCAGGGGCATCTCATGGGGCCCTTTACTGACCCCGGGCCCTCGGGCAGTGCCCAAGTTTCCGAATGGTCAGTCCGCCCCTGGTAACGACACATCAGTCCCCTCGCACTAGTGTCACCACTGCAAACCAGACATTCAGGGCCCCGGTGCAAGAAACCATGAAGGGCCCCCTTCCCTCTGAGACCGGGTCCCTTTACTCCCATCACAGGGCACTTTATTACGGTCCCGGAGGGGACCCTTTCACACGTTCTGCAGCAGCCCCCTTCCTGCCTTCTTGGGTGCCCCCACAGTGGTGGAACCTTTGCAACCCTGGTAGTTCCCCCACTCCTCTTCTGTATCTGGAGAGGACCCCATCACTGGAAAGCCAATAGTAAGTGGTGACATGGACTCCCAAAGAAGGATCCCATCCCTGTAAAAAGTATGGAGAAGACTTGGGATTGGAAAGTCACGTGACTGTGGCTTTAGGTAAGCAAAAAGGGCATTTTTTTAATAATGCCATGGAACAGTTCGAGGATGCTGGGGGAATAAGGGGGTCTGGACATCAGCTTTGACCATTGCCTACATATCAAAAATTAAAAAAATGCATTACTCAATAAACCTGACACCTCCATTTCTTTTATTCTGTAGACATTATTCCCATCCATATGTACCAGACATTGAAGGGTTGGAGGAGTTTCAAGGTGAGAAAATCCCATTCTTTTTGATAGTTTTTGAAATATAGTTGGTGAAATAAATCAGTTTACAGGTGAAAACTGATTTCCATGTTCGGTGGGTGGAGTAGTTAAAGGATAAGTTCACCTTTTAACAAAAAATAATAAATGCACATTTATTTGCAGGTGAAAAAATGTGCATTTTATTATTTTTTGTTTCTGGAGCCTCTAAAGCACAGGTGTCAAACTGGCGACCCTCCAGCTGTTACCAAACTACAAGTCCCATGAGGCATTGCAAGATTGACTGTTACAAGCATAACTCCCAAAGGCAGAGGGATGATGGGACTTGTAGTTTCGCAACAGCTGGAGGGGCGTCAGTTTGACACCCCTGTTCTAAAGCATTGCACCAGCGATCAGCAGATCGCCAGTGTCATCAGGTCTCCCTCTGACCTGTCACTGTATCTACTGGGACGGCTCCAACTGGCCACATCAAGGGAGAGGAACTGAAATTGTTCCTCCCTCTCTCTGAGATCAGAAACTGGAAGCAACAAGGATTTCGTCACTTCCGGTTTCGGTTCTTTGTTTGGAAGACATTACTGGCTTGTACAAGTATCTGATCAAACCGATCTCTGCTTGATCAGATGTTTTGGAGGCCAGAGGAGACATCTGGGCTCTAATGGACCCCTGATCTCTCCAAAAAGAGGACCTGTCATGCTTATTGCTATCATAAGGGATGTTGTTCATCCCTTGTGATAGCAATACATTTGATACAAATAAATAAAGGGTCTATGACAAAAAAAAAGTTTTAAATAACATAAATAATAATAACAATAAAGAAATTAAAGCGCCCTGTCCCCCCGGTTCTCATGCGCCAATGCAAAAGCATACGTAACTTCTGGACACGTGTAAATGGTGATCACGCCACACATGTGAGGTATTACCGTGAACATCAGAGCAAGAGCAATAATTCTAGCACCAGACCTCCTGTGTAACACTAACCTGGAAACCTGGAAAGGTTTTTAAAGCGTTGCCTATGGAGATTTTTAGGTACCGTAGTTTGGAGCTGTTCCACGGGCATACGCACATTTAAAGCATGACATATTAGGTATCTATTTACTCGGCATAACATCATCTTTTATACTTTATCAAGAAATTGGGTATTGTACTGTACTTGTAAGCAATAAAATTTATTCAAGGGTCTTTTTTCCCAGACAAATTGCCTTTGGAATACACCCACCACTTTATGGTCTAGGGCAGGGGTGGGCAAACTTTTTGACTTGAGGGCCGCAATGGGTTCATATATTGGACCCGGGGGCCGGACCAAGAGTAGATGAATGATGTGTATGTGTCATCCATAGTAAGTATAGTAATATTCCCCCATAGTAAGCATAGTAATTAATCCCCCATATAGTAATTCATCCCCCATAGTAATTCATCCCCCATATAGTAATTCATCCCCCATATAGTAATTCATCCCCCATATAGTAATTCATCCCCCATATAGTAATTCATCCCCCATAGTAATTCATCCCCCATAGTAATTCATCCCCCATATAGTAATTCATCCCCCATATAGTAATTCATCCTCCATAGTAATTCATCCCCCATATAGTAATTCATCCCCCCATAGTAATTCATCCCCCCTATAGTAATTCATTCCCCATATTATTTCATCCCCCATAGTACTATTCCCCCCCAAGTAGTAAGCCAAGTCCCCCCTGTGTCAATTCACTTACCTTTGCTCCGCGCGTTCCTCTCGCCGTGTTCCCGCGCCGTTCCGGTCTTCAGGGCGGACTGTGAGAGGAGCCTAGCTCCCCTCACGTTCGTCACGCTGCCCCCCCGCCTACACACATCCTGACAGCCAATGTATCCCATGCCGTTCCGGTCTTCAGGGCGGACTGTGAGAGGAGCCTAGCTCCCCTCACATTCGTCACGCTGCCCCGCCTACACACATCCTGACAGCCAATGTATCACGCTCCGCGGGCTGGATTAAAAGGTCCGCCGGGCCGTAGTTTGCCCATTGCTGGTCTAGGGCCTCTGCTTAAATATATAAATATATGTATGCAGAAATATATATATATATATATATATATGTATATATAAAATGTTTGGGGCTCTCAGTAATTTTCTAGCATAAAAATGTAGATATTTACATGCAGTATCTCCCAGAAGTGAGTCCACCTGTCAGGAACGGACTTGTCAGTGGTGGTGGGACTCACCTGCCTTGTGGGCTGCGGTACCAGGGCTGACCAGCGGGTGCTCTCAGCAACCAGAAGCTCACTTCTGCAATCAGCCATCACCTGAAGCTGATTGCAGGAGGTGTATTTAAGGAATGGCCAGACCTGCAGTTAGTGCCATGGTGTAATGTTTCCCATGAGCCCCCTGTACCTGCATCCTGGCTGCTTCTTGCCTGATCCTGCTTTAATCCTGACTCTGCATGAACTCTGCCTGTCCTGACCTCGGCTATTCCTGACTACTCTTCCGCCTGCTCCTTGTACCTTGCCTGCCCGTTTGCTACCGACCTGGCCTGCCCGACTACGTTTAGTATTGTTCTTATTGTTATCTGTTGGAGGTTTGGTTGCACTGTTTATGTTTAGTCTTGCACTGCGTTTATGTATTGTTTAGTCTTTAATAAATTGTATTTTTTATACTATACCTGAAGTCTGTGTTTTCCTGTGTCAGTCCACACATATCTGGTCATACCCGGATCCCTAACAGAACACCAAGGCCATTCCTGACCAGAAGTGGCTACACAGGGAAGCCATCTTGGCTTGTTGTTGATGGAGGATGCATCCTAAGGAGGTTGAGTACTTGTCTCTGCTAGTCTTGGAAGACAGAGTATACGGCTATCAGATTCTGAAGAAGTATGCCAGGGATCAGCTGCTAGAGTGCATGCGGGTTGCTCATTCACTAGTGGATCGGGGCACAGAGTTTTCTGAGGTGTAGCCATTGATCCAGGTTTGTGCTGAGTTGGCTTTGTCCTGTACCCCTGGAAGCAGGGATGACCCCATTTTTTCCCCCATTTAGTGCAGATCAAGTGGAATCACTGGTATGGTTGTTGGAGGATGATCCAGATTGCTTCCATGAGCATTATGCAGCTTGTCCATCACATGTGCTTAGGGATTGTATATACGCAGTGCAGTCTTTGGTCAGACAGGCTATGTGTAAGTTGAGATTCGTTCAACCTGTATTACAGACATGGTCAGATTTGTTGCACCCAGCCTCAGTCAGCTTGCAAAAACCCAGTCCTGCTTCTAACCTATTTCTTCAAAGCTCTATTCCTGCATTCCCGACAGCACCTCCAGTTCCAGCCCAGTATACCCTGCTATCTACCACATGTCAGTACCCTGTTCCCACTCGCTGCACCTATCCTGCCTTTAATCCTGTAAAGAAGCCCTTGTAGCAACTGCTCCCTCCTTTGTTCCATCCCCCAGCTCTTCTCTGTCTTCAGCTGCTCTATCTGTTTACAGTCCTGCGTCTACTTACAGTGCTCCAGTAACTAAAACCAGGAAGAAGCGAAAATTCTTTCCAACCAGTACAATCCTGCCAGTATCCAAACCGGTCAGCCTGCCGTCCGAGAATCCGCCTTCCGTTTTTTCAGCCTGATGCCCTGATGCTGATGACCCAGTGTGCGCTACCCAGCCTGATGACCCGATCCGGCCTGATGACCCGATCCCGCCTGATGACCCGGTGCCCGCTGTTCTGCCAGATGACTCGGTGCCCGCTGTTCTGCCAGATGACTCGTGCCCGCTGTCCTGCCAGATGACTCGGTGCCTGCTGTCGTGTCAGATGACTCGTTGCCCCCTGTTGTGCCAGATGACTCGTTGTGCCAGATGACTCGGTGCCCGCTGTTCTGCCAGTTGACCCGGTGCCCGCTGTTCTGCTAGTTGACTCGGTGCCCGCTATTGTGCCAGTTGACTCGGTGCCCGCTGTCGTGCCAGATGATTCGGTGCCCGCTGTTCTGCCAGATGACTCGGTGCCCGCTGTTCTGCCAGATGACTCGGTGCCCGCTGTCGTGCCAGATGACTCGGTGCCTGCTGTCGTGCCAGATGACACGGTGCCTGCTGTCGTGCCAGATGACTCGTTGCCCCCTGTTGTGCCAGATGACTCGTTGTGCCAGATGACTCGGTGCCCGCTGTTCTGCCAGTTGACCCGGTGCCCGCTGTTCTGCAGTTGACTCGGTGCCCGCTGTCGTGCCAGTTGACTCGGTGCCCGCTGTCGTGCCAGATGACTCGGTGCCCGCTGTCGTGCCAGATGACTCGGTGCCTGCTGTCGTGCCAGATGACTCGGTGCCCACTGTCGAGCTTGGTGACCCAATGCCCGTGTTCTGCCAGATGACTCGGTGCCCGCTGTCGTGCCAGATGACTCGGTGCCCGCTGTCGTGCCAGATGACTCGGTGCCCGCTGTTGTGCCAGATGACTCGGTGCCTGCTGTTGAGCTGCCAGGTGACTCGGTACCCGCTGTCGTGCCAGTTGACTCGGTGCCCGCTGTCGTGCCAGATGACTCGGTGCCTGCTGTCGTGCCAGATGACTCGGTGTCCACTGTCGAGCTTGGTGACCCAGTGCCCGTGGTTCTGCCAGATGACTCGGTGCCCGCTGTCGTGCCAGATGACTCGGTGCCCGCTGTCGTGCCAGATGACTCGGTGCCCGCTGTCTGCCAGATGACTCGGTGCCCGCTGTCGTGCCAGATGACTTGTTGCCCCCTGTTGTGCCAGATGACTCGTTGCCCGCTGTTGTGCCAGATGACTCGGTGCCCGCTGTTGTGCTTGGTGACTCGGTGCCCGCTGTCGTGCCAGATGACTCGGTGCCGCTGTCGTTGCCAGTTGACTCGGTGCCCGCTGTCGTGCCAGTTGACTCGGTGCCCGCTGTCGTGCCAGATGACTCGGTGCCCGCTGTCGAGCTTGGTGACCCGGTGCCCGTGGTTCTGCCAGATGACTCGGTGCCCGCTGTCGTGCCAGATGACTCGGTGCCCGCTGTCGTGCCAGATGACTCGGGCCCGCTGTCGTGCCAGATGACTCGGTGCCCGCTGTTGTGCCAGATGACTCGGTGCCCGCTGTCGTGCCAGATGACTCGGTGCCCGCTGTCGTGCCAGATGACTCGGGGCCCGCTGTCGTGCCAGATGACTTGTTGCCCCCTGTTGTGCCAGATGACTTGTTGCCCCTCTTGTGCCAGATGACTCGGTGCCCGCTGTTGAGCTTGGTGACCCGGTGCCCGCTGTCGTGCCAGTTGACTCGGTGCCCGCTGTCGTGCCAGATGACTCCGTGCCCGCTGTCGTGCCAGATGACTCGGTGCCCTGCTGTCGTGCCAGATGACTCGGTGCCCGCTGTCGTGAGCTTGGTGACCCAATGCCCGCTGTTCTGCCAGATGACTCGGTGCCCGCTGTCGTGCCAGATGACTCGGTGCCTGCTGTCCTGCCAGATGACTCGGTGCCCGCTGTCGTGCCAGATGACTCGTTGACCCCTGTCGTGCCAGATGACTCGTTGCCCGCTGTTGTGCCAGATGACTCGGTGCCCGCTGTTGAGCTTGGTGACCCGGTGCTCGCTGTCGTGCCAGTTGACTCGGTGCCCGCTGTCGTGCCAGTTGACTCGGTGCCCGCTGACGTGCCAGATGACTCGGTGCCTGCTGTCGTACCAGATGACTTGTTGCCCCCTGTTGTGCCAGATGACTCGTTGCCCCCTTTTGTGCCAGATGACTTGTTGCCCGCTGTTGTGCCAGATGACCCAATGCCCGTGGTTCTGCCAGATGACTCGGTGCCCGCTGTCGTGCCAGATGACTCGGTGCCCGCTGTCGTGCCAGATGACTCGGTGCCCGCTGTCGTGCCAGATGACTCGTTGCCCGCTGTTGTGCCAGATGACTCGGTGCCCGCTGTCGTGCCAGTTGACTCGGTGCCCGCTGTCGTGCCAGTTGACTCGGTGCCCGCTGTCGTGCCAGATGGTGCCCTCGGTGACTCCCGCTGTCGTGCCAGATGACTCGGTGCCCGCTGTTCTGCTAGTTGACTCGGTGCCCGCTGTCGTGCCAGTTGACTCGGTGCCCGCTCTTCTGCTAGTTGACTCGGTGCCCGCTGTCGTGCCAGTTGACTCGGTGCCCGCTGTTGTGCCAGATGACTCGGTGCCCGCTGTCGTGCCAGATGACTCGGTGCCTGCTGTCGTGCCAGATGACTCGGTGCCCGCTGTCGAGCTTGGTGACCCAATGCCCGTGGTTCTGCCAGATGACTCGGTGCCCGCTGTCGTGCCAGATGACTCGGTGCCCGCCTTCCTGCCAGATGACTCGGTGCCCGCTGTCCTGCCAGATGACTCGTGCCCGCTGTCGTGCCAGATGACTCGTTGCCCCCTGTCGTGCCAGATGACTCGGTGCACGCTGTTGTGCCAGATGACTCGGTGCCCGCTGTTGAGCTTGGTGACTCGGTGCCCGCTGTCGTGCCAGTTGACTCGGTGCCCGCTGTCGTGCCAGTTGACTTGGTGCCCGCTGTCGTGCCAGTTGATGACTCGGTGCCTGCTGTCGTACCAGATGACTCGGTGCCCGCTGTCGAGCTTGGTGACCCAGTGCCCGTGGTTCTGCCAGATGACTCGGTGCCCGCTGTCGTGCCAGATGACTCGGTGCCCGCTGTCGTGCCAGATGACTCGTTGCCCCCCTGTCGTGCCAGATGACTTGTTGCCCCCTGTTGTGCCAGATGACTCGTTGCCCGCTGTTGTGCCAGATGACTCGGTGCCCGCTGTTGAGCTTGGTGACCCGGTGCCCGCTGTTGTGCTAGTTCACTCGGTGCCCGCTGTCGTGCCAGATGACTCAGTGCCCGCTGTTGTGCCAGATGACTCGGTGCCTGCTGTCGTGCCAGATGACTCGGTGCCCGCTGTCGTGCCAGATGACTCGGTGCCCCCGCTGTCGTGCCAGATGACTCGTTGCCCCCCTGTTGTGCCAGATGACTCGGTGCCTGCTGTTGAGCTTGGTGACTCGGTGCCCGCTGTCGTGCCAGATGACTCGGTGCCCGCTGTCGTGCCAGATGACTCGGTGCCTGCTGTCGAGCTTGGTGACCCAGTGCCCGTGGTTCTGCCGTGGTTCTGCCAGTTGACTCGGTGCCCGCTGTCCTGCCAGATGACTCGGTGCCCGCTGTCGTGCCAGATGACTCGGTGCCCGCTGTCGTGTTCCAGATGACTCGGTGCCCGCTGTCGTGCCAGATGACTTGTTGCCCCCTGTTGTGCCAGATGACTCGTTGCCCGCTGTTGTGCCAGATGACTCGGTGCCCGCTGTTGAGCTTGGTGACCCGGTGCCCGCTGTCGTGCCAGATGACACGGTGCCTGCTGTCGTTCCAGTTGACTCGGTGCCCGCTGTCGTGCCAGTTGAATCGATGCCCCGCAGTCGTGCCAGATGACTCGGTGCCCGCTGTCGTGCCAGATGACTCGTTGCCCCCTGTTGTGCCAGATGACTCAGTGCCCGCTGTTGAGCTTGGTGACTCGGTGCCCGCTGTCGTGCCAGTTGACTCGGTGCCCGCTGTCGTGCCAGATGACTCGGTGCCCGCTGTTGTGCCAGATGACTCGGTGCCCGCTGTCGAGCTTGGTGACCCAGTGCCCGTCGTTCTGCCAGTTGACTCGGTGCCCGCTGTCGTGCCAGATGACTCGGTGCCCGCTGTCGTGCCAGATGACTTGTTGCCCCCTGTTGTGCCAGATGACTTGTTGCCCGCTGTTGAGCTTGGTGACCCGATGCCCGCTGTCGTGCCAGATGACTCGGTGCCTGCTGTCATTCCAGTTGACTCGGTGCCCGCTGTCGTGCCAGTTGACTCGATGCCCGCAGTCGTGCCAGATGACTCTGTGCCCGCTGTCGTGCCAGGTGACTCGGTGCCCCACTGTCGAGCTTGGTGACCCAGTGCCCGTTGGTTCTGCCAGATGACTCGGTGCCCGCTGTCGTGCCAGATGACTCGGTGCCCGCAGTCGTGCCAGATGACTCGGTGCCCGCTGTTGAGCTTGGTGACCCAGTGCCCGCTGTCGTGCCAGATGACTCGGTGCTTAATGTCGAGCTTGGTGACCCAGTGCCCGTGGTTCTGCCAGATGACTCGGTGCCCACTGTCGTGCCAGATGACTCAGTGCCCGCTGTCGAGCTTGGTGACCCAGTGCCCGCTGTTGTGCCAGATGACTCGGTGCCCGCTGTCGAGCTTGGTGACCCAGTGCTCGTCGTTCTGCCAGACGACTCGGTGCCCGCTGTCGTGCCAGATGACTCGGTACCCGCTGTCGTGCCAGATGACTCGTTGCCCGCTGTCGTGCCAGATGACTCTGTGCCCGCTGTCGTGCCAGATGACTCGTTGCCCGCTGTCGTGCCAGATGACTCGTTGCCCGCTGTCGTGCCAGATGACTCGGTGCCCGCTGTCGTGCCAGATGACTCGGTGCCCGCTGTCTTGCCAGATGACTCGGTGCCCGCTGTCGAGCTTGGCGACCCGGTGCACGCTGTCTTGCCTGATGGCCCGGTGCCCGCTGCCTCGCCTGATGGCCCGGTGCCTGCTGCCCAGCCTGACGTGCCTCTGCCTGCTGCCCAGCCTGACGTGCCTCTGCCTGCTGCCCAGCCTGACGTGCCTCTGCCTGCTGCCCAGCCTGACGTACCAGCTCCTGATGCCCAGCCTGCTTCTGGAAATCCTGTGTCCAGCAATCTGCCTTCCTGCAGTCTCCTGCAAAAAGATAGGCCTATCAGCAGGAGACCCAGCCACTTACTTGATTCCGGTAGTGGGATGTCCAGCCAGTTGCCGGACCCAGGCGGTGGAACATTTGGGCCATTATGAACTGTTTGGAGCATCCTGAGGCCGCTCCTTGAGGGGGGGGGGGTACTGTCAGGAATGGACTTGCCAGTGGTGGTGGGACTCACCTGCCTTGTGGGCTACAGTACCAGGCTGGCCAGCGGGTGCTCTCAGCAACCAGAAGCTCACTTCTGTAATCAGCCATCACCTGAAGCTGATTGCAGGAGGTGTATTTAAGGAATGGCCAGACCTGCAGTTAGTGCCATGGTGTAATGTTTCCCATGAGCCCCCTGTACCTGCATCCTGGCTGCTTCCTGCCTGATCCTGCTTTAATCCTGACTCTGCATGAACTCTGCCTGTCCTGACCTCGGCTATTCCTGACTACTCTTCCGCCTGCTCCTTGTACCTTGCCTGCCCGTTTGCTACCGACCTGGCCTGCCCGACTACGTTTAGTATTGTTCTTATTGTTATCTGTTGGAGGTTTGGTTGCACTGTGTTTATGTTTAGTCTTGCACTGCGTTTATGTATTGTTTAGTCTTTATTAAATTATATTTTTTATACTATACCTGAAGCCTGCGTTTCCCTGTGTCAGTCCACACATTTCTGGTCATACCCGGATCCCTAACACCCACCCCTCACATTTTTGTAAATATTTGATTCTATCTTTTCATGTGACAACACTGAAGAAATGACACTTTGCTACAATGTGACATAGTGAGTGTACAGCTTGTATAACATGTAAATGTGCCGCCCCCCTCAACATATCTCAACACACAGCCATTAATGTTTAAACCACTGGCAACAAAAGTGAGTCCACCCCTAAGTGACATGTTCCAAATTGGGCCCAAAGTGTCAATATTTTTGTGTGGCCACCATTATTTTCCAGCACTTCCTTAACCCTCTTGGGCATGGAGGTCACCAGAGCTTCACAGGTTGCCACTGGAGTCCTCTTCCACTCCTCCATGATGACATCACGGAGCTGGAGGATGTTAGAGACCTTGTGCTCCACCACCTTCCGTTTGAGGATGCCCCACAGATGCTCAATAGGGTTTAGGTCTGGAGACATGCTTGGCCAGTCCATCAACTTTACCGCAGCTTCTTTAGCAAGGCAGTGGTCGTCTTGGAGGTGTGTTTGGGGTCGTTATCATGTTGGAATACTGCTTAGCGGGACAGTCTCTGAAGGGAGGGGTCATGCTCTGCTTCAGTATGTCACAGTACATGTTGGCATTCATGGTTCCCTAATGAACTGTAGCTCCCCAGTGCCGGCAGCCCTCATGCAGCCCAAGACCATGACACTCCCATCGCCATGCTTGACTGTAGGCAAGACACACTTGTCTTTGCACTCCGCACCTGGTTGCCACCACACACGCTTGACACCATCTGAACCAAATCAGTTGATCTTGGTGTCATCAGACTACAGGACATGGTTCCAGTAATCCATGCCCTTAGTCTGCTTGTCTTCAGCAAACTGTTTGCGGGCTTTCTTGTGCATCATCTTTAGAAGAGGCTTCCTTCTGAGACAACAGCCATGCAGACCAATTTGATGCAGTGTGCGGCGTATGGTCTGAGCACTGACAGGCTGGCCCTCCAACCTTTCAACTTCTGCATCAATGTTGTCAGCACTCATACGTCTATTTCCCAAAGACAACCTGTGGATATGACGCTGAGCGCGTGCACTCAACTTCTTTGGTCAACCATGGCGAGGCCTGTTCTGAGTGGAACCTGTCCTGTTAAAAAACCGCTGTATGGTCTTGGCCACCATGCTGCAGCTCAGTTTCAGGGTCTTGCCAATCTTCTTATAGCCTAGGCCAGTGGTCGGCAAGCCGCGGCTCACGAGCCACATGCGGCTCTTTACACGCTTTAATGCGGCTCTTGTGTGCCGGGCGCCCGCTCCCCTCCCTCCTCTCGGGCGGCAGGGACTCTGCAGCGTGATCCAAAAAAAACCAGCCAGGGCAGCGTGCTCAAATGCAATGATTGGCCAGTCTCGCTGCCACTCACATCCTGATAGCCAGTGATTGGCTGTCAGGATGTGTGTAGGCGGGGCAGCGTGACGAACGTGAGAGGAGCTAGGCTCCTCTCACAGTCCGCCCTGAAGACCAGAACGGCGCGGGAACACGGCGAGAGGAACGCGCGGAGCAAAGGTAAGTGAATTGACACAGGGGGGACTTGGCTTACTACTTGCTACTTACTTACTACTACTATATGAGGGATGAATTAATAGGGGGGATGAATTACTATATGGGGGATGAATTACTATAGGGGGGATGAATTACTATATGGGGGATGAATTACTATGGGGGATGAATTACTATAGGGGGGATGAATTACTATAGGGGGGATGAATTACTATGGGGGATGAATTACTATATGGGGGATGAATTACTATGGGGGATGAATTACTATATGGGGGATGAATTACTATATGGGGGGATGAATTACTATATGGGGGATTAATTACTATATGGGGGATGAATTACTATGGGGGATGAATTACTATATGGGGGATGAATTACTATGGGGGATGAATTACTATATGGGGGATGAATTACTATATGGGGGATGGGGGATGAATTACTATATGGGGGGATGAATTACTATATGGGGGATGAATTACTATATGGGGGATTAATTACTATATGGGGGATGAATTACTATATGGGGGATGAATTACTATGGGGGATGAATTACTATATGGGGGATTAATTACTATATGGGGGATGAATTACTATGGGGGATGAATTACTATATGGGGGATGAATTACTATGGGGGATGAATTACTATATGGGGGATGAATTACTATATGGGGGATGAATTACTATGGGGGATGAATTACTATAAAAACTTATTGAAACTAAAAACAGTGTACCATCCTATGTATTTTCAGTTTTAAAAATGTGGCTCTCAAAATAAATTTCAATCGTGGTTTTGGCGAGATGATTTGGCTCAGTTGAAAAAAAAGGTTGCCCACCACTGGCCTAGGCCATCTTTATGTGGAGCAACAATTCTTTTTTTCAGATCCTCAGAGTTCTTTGCCATGAGGTGCCATGCTGAACGTCCAGTGACAGTATGAGAGAATGAGAGCGATAACACCAAATTTAACACACCTGCTCCCCATTCACACCTGAGACCTTGTAACACTAATGTGTCACATGACATCGGGGAGGGTAAATGGCTAGTTGGGCCCAATTTGTACCTTGTCACTTAGGGGTGGACTCACTTTTGTTGCCAACGGTTTAGACATTAATGGCTGTGTGTTGAGTTATTTGAGGATACAGCAAATTTACATGTTATACAAGCTGTACACTGACTATGTCACATTGTAGCAAAGTGTCATTTCTTCAGTGTTGTCACATGAAAAGATAGAATTAAATATTTACAAAAATCTGAGGGGTGGACTCACGTCTGGGAGATACTATATATTAATATATATATATATATATATATATACATACATTGTATACAGTCCAGGGGAGGAGTGGACTCACTTCTGGGAGATACTGTATATGTGAGATGTGTCAGAATTGTCCTGGGAGTCAAATGGCTAAACATACACCAAAAATGCAGAATGTAGGACTTTTATAAATGCACCACACCCACAGCGCATTGGTGTGAAGAGTTCCATAGAATATTTTCTGTATTTTTATACCATTTTTTAAACACCAAAAGCTCATCAAAACTAATTAGTGAGAGGGCTCTTATTCTCATCACTTTTTGTCCTAAATTAAGGAAATTCTCTTTACTATCAATAATCTAATTGACATATTTGTGGGACTTTTTTTGGCACCATTATTTGAATACTAAGGTATCTGATATACATTATTTATGAATAAAATTGTATCATCACAAAAAGTCCATAAAATTGCATTTAATATTAAGGCTATCATATATTGCTTAACCTCCCTAGCGGTCTGATTATGTCAGTATTTTTCTCAAAGTGGTACTTTTTTTGCATGGAAACATGTCTTTTTTTTTTTCTATTGTAGGCCTGTAATTCTTATAATAACTCACTGAAATCTGTCCGAACAAGAGTCTAGTAAACATCCCGGGTATAATAAAACTTGAAACATGAAATCATAAAGTATAATATAATAAATAATCAAAAAAAATAATAATAAATTTAATTCAATAATATAATCAAACCAAAAACACTGAAATCTGAAATAGAGCGCCAAGTTCGCACATCGCTGAGCAAAGTCGCAAATCGTTTTCAGTGTCTGATGACGAATTTCCCCCACGAATCATTATCACTCAATTCTGCAAGTGGTTCTGATTTACTATCGCTGTTCTCTAGCCGGTCTAAAACCACTTTTGACCTAAAGGGACGCTTTTTGGACGCCATGGACGTTTATCAGTTTCCAGGCAGAAAGAACAGTAAAAATGCAGGCAGGGCGCAGGACAAAGCACTCGGGACAAAATGTATGTGAAATGGTTTGATACAGGAATGTTATACTATGTGATTTTAGTGTATTGAGTGAATGTCACTTTTAAAATTTTTGAATATCCCTGTATGTCCTGTACATCCCGACGCTCGCAGGGAACAGAACCTGGAAGACGGATGCCGACATCGGCTGGAGGAGATGGCCGGGAACGTTGCAGGGGGAACATCGCGGGAGCGCAGGACAAGGTAAGTGCAAGAGGGAATCCCTGAGCAAAGCTGCAGTTTATTCCCGAATGTAGCTCAGGGTTACCACTTTTGGTACTGAAAGTTAACCCCGAGCTACACTCGGGAATACCTCCAGGGGGGTTAAAGTGGTTGTAATCCTCATACATGAAAAATGAACAAAGCGTGTCCCTCTATAGTGTGTACTTAATTAGAGCAATAAGTGTAATTTCTGTCTGCTGCTTCATTCCTCTATCAGTGTGAATCACTTCTGACAAGTTTTCCTGACACAAGAGAAAAATGGTGACAGGGGAGGGAGCTCCAGCAGATTGACAGCCTCAGCTCTGTTCCTGTGTGCTGTGTGAAGGGGAGGGGGGGTGTTTCTTCCTCCTATCAGCTCTCAAAGAT